TTTAATCTTTAATATATGAATTATATTATAGTATATTTAAGTAAAGAGAAATAAAGAGGAAGAGAGAGAAAAAAAAATTTTACTTAATAAAAGAATTGGAGAGAAGAGAAATGAAGTTTTTTACTTTATTTTTTAATCTATTTATTTATCTAAATGAGAAAAGAGAAATAAAATTATTTTTATCTTCTCCACTCTTTTATTTTTTTTAATTTAAATATACTATTAAAAAAATAAATATTAGAGATGTTATTGTCATCCTAATTTTTTTTGTAGTATTAAAATTTTTAAATAGATAATTAATATTAAAGAATCTACGAGAAAAAGTTTGGAGAAAACTGTCGCCCCCACCCAACGGCCCGTTGAAGTCTAGAGTTTAGACCTGGTCGCTCCGTGAGGCATAAGGCGTTCGTCAACGCGTTTGGAGTCTTCGGGCTCATTTCTGGCGAAGATTTCACTGTCCCATCCAAGGATTTTTTCAGAATTAGTTGAGGTAGAACATTCAAATTCATAATAAGGATAAATTCATTCAAAAATTATAAAAATAAATTTTTTTATATATTAATTTTTTATATTTAAAAATTACATTAAATCCTAATTAATTTAGAATTGAATCAGATCGAAACTCTTCAGTATCTATTTTTTTATTTATAAAATTTAAATTCAAGATTTTATTTTAAGAAGAGTTAAACTCTTTTTACTCGGATTAATTGTTGATTAAATCTCATATTTTTTAACTTGTGATATTAATTTTTTGTTAAAAATATTTACATAACAACTAAAATTTTGATTTCATATATTAAAAAATAAATAATTTATCTCAATTTATAATTTAAAGAAATAATTTATCTTTATTTTTTTAAAAATAAATCTATCACTACCCTGTTTAAAGAGTGAATTGAAGGATTTTACCATTAGTTGTTGTATTGCACCACAATTTCCTTGTATATGTAGCAGAAAGGAGCTCGGTTTTGAGTAGTTGTCATCATCATCCAGCGGGTTAAAGCCAACTGTAGTCCTCATACTTTGTGAAAATGTTCATTACCATCCCTCTACTAAGGAAATATTCGATGTCATCCCTCTACTTTTCTTACACCATAAATGTCATCCCTCTACTATCCTTTTTTGGTTCAATGTCATCCTTAATTGGATGCCATCCATTTTGCTGCTAACTTTGACCGATAATTGCCTAACGCTCAAATATTCAACTTTTATTTATGAATTTTTTTTAAGAGCATATATTAATGATATTTTTTTGTAATAAATTTATATAAAAAAATATGAAAATAAACATTAATTTTAGTGTTATTGTCACGTAAATAAATTTAATTAAATAGTTGATAAATTAAATATTACTTTTTATTTTTTTAAAAACTTTTAATTGGTACTCTAAAGATACAAATTAGAATAACCCTTTGTTTATTAATTTTTTATCCACCTAGTGAAACTAGTGGGACCAATTTCTTTATTTTTTTTAGTTCTGTATTATTCTTTCTGACTTTAGCATCTAAATGAACATAATCTATTAATTCTCTGTTAAAATTGAAATAAAATAGTTATAGAATTAATCCTTAAAAATTAAAAATATAACAATTTAATTCTAAAAGTTCAAAAATTATAAAAATTAGTAAACTAAAAAGAATTAATAGATGATTTTTTCACATATACTAAAACATATACTAAAACAGCATTAGATATTTATAATCAAATCGAGTGATTAACTTAATTTGAAGAAAGAATTTTGACTGAAATTAAGAAAAATTTCTTAACTGAATTAAGATAGAAAATTTAAGAGACCAGAAAAATATAATCAAGAAATTTTTTTAATCTTAATTAGATTTCTTGAGTTAGATTGAGTTAATTACTTGATCTAATTGTAAATATCTAACATTATTCTCACATATGTGATAAAGTCATTTACTAATTATTTTTAAGTTATTAATTTTTTTATTTTTTAAACTTTTGAAATTAAAGTGTTATATTTTTAATTTTTAATAGTTGATTTTATAAATATTTTTTTAATTTTAATAGAGAGTTAACAAATTCTGTTAGTGAATAAAAAAATTAATTGAAAAAAAGTTAAATGTTCGACTGTTAGGCAATTAACAGTCAAAGTTAATGGTAAAATGGATGGCATCCAATTAAGGATGACATCTAACAAAAAAAGAGTAGTAGAGGGATGACATTGAACATTTTCTTAGTAGAGGGATGGTAATGAACATTTTTACAAAGTACGAGAACTACAGTTGGCTTTAACCCTCATCCAGCCCCAGCGACCGCCTAGTCACCCGTTTTGCAACACTGCTGTCATATTCA